CCTATCATCGAAACGTATCCTCCTATGAGGAGCAGCAAGGAAGGAGAACGCAGAATTGTCCCTTCCACTCCTACTTCTATTTGGCATGTGCAGAAGTTTGCCATGGAAACACAAGGGAGAGGGGTAAGTATGTTCTTCAACCATCAGCGACTTCCATTTTATTATTACTATTTCAATTTCTCTCTGCAGAAGCTCTTGTACCACGGCAGCTGTTCCCCTCAATCCTTGCTTCATAGCCCGATTCATTTTGCTTAACGATTTAATCTCTTAGAAAGGCCTACTCATGTCTAGGTAACTCCCTCGACCAATAACAATCACATTCTGTACAGTTTAGGGGGAACACCCCAATCCCTTAAGAAACTTCTGTGTGTGTAAAGCAAAGATCAGTGGTGAGTTGATGGTATAACTTGAAGTTCACAGGTATTGCCAACTCATGTCATAACTGTAGAAACTATGATGCTACCTTTTCAGCAGTTGGAAGATATGAGAGTCGTGCTCTGTACCCCAGCTTAGCAAAGCAGGGTCCCGAGGTACTAAGATGAAAACTCCCCAAGCCAAACGTCTAACTTGGGACAGAGTTGCGACACAGTGCACTCTTCATACAAGGTACCTGAGCGGACAGTATGAGAAAGGTATTCATCGTCGGCTTGCTGCCACCCACAGTCCAACCACAGCCATGCCGATTGGTGGAAGCCGAGTTTTATTAGGCAGCCGGACTTGGGCAGTGGCAAATTCAGTGAGGGGAGGCAATTCTGGGTCCAATTTTTACCCTCGAGGAACCTACTGTGATTTCCTCAGATCGTTGAATCCGCAGTGCCTGGACCCACAGCAACTTCTCGGTGAATGACTGGTTCGATGGAGAATGAGGCCCGAGGGAGACGTGGGAATCTGGTAAAGAGTTGTGTCAAACTCAGAGCCGGCATACAAGGAGGCATAGAATAGGACAGAAGGGACAGAGAGGGGATGGGGGATGAACACGGAGCCAAACATCCTCCTGCCTTTCTGGAAGCTACTGTAACGAGTTGTTAAAACCTGGGTAGCTTAAAACAGTAGACCTTTATTCTCTCACCATCCTGAAATCCAGCTCCAGGGGCCATCCTTCCTTGCCTCTTCCAGCTCCTGGTGGCTGCCCTGGCATTCCAGGGATTATGACCAAGTCACTGCAACGTCTGCCTCTGGCTCTGCCTTCCCCTGTGTGTCTGCATCAAATCTACTTCGGCTTCTAGTTGATAAGGGCGCACCTTAGCCTTTCTCTCACGTAGCAAAAGTCACTTAAGGATTCTCTGCATCCTTCTGTGGCTTTCTAGCGAGCTCATTTCGTTTTATCAGGGAATCATGCTCCATCTGACGGAAAAACTATGCTTGTTTACCCACTCACCTATTGAGTAACCTCAATTTTATCCAATTTGGAACAATGATGAATAAAGCTGCTAAGAATATTCGAACACAGGTTTTTACTTGGACACCCGTTTTTTCACGAAGAGTAAGTCTATGTTTTGCTTTGTCAGGAATTTCAGGTGATCTTCCAAAGTGGCTGTATCCTATCGCATTCGTATCAGTAATCAGTCAGGGTCCGTGGCTCTGCCTTCTGGCCAGCACCTGGTCCTGCCAGTGACTGGATGTGAGCTGGTCTAACAGGCGCCTGGTGGTGGTGTTGGATCAGCCATTGGACTCAGAATGCAAGCTATCACGTGACTCACCCTTGACGTTCAGCCTCTCAATTTCCCAAAGGGATGGGGAAGGCGCTCCGTTTCACAAAGGGAAAAATGATGTTCTGGGAGATGAATGGCCCAAATCATGCATTGGCAGAGGACAGAACTGGGCCGGGACCGGATCCTTGTGGCTCTTGGTTGCTCAAGCCAAGCTTGCTGTTTGCTGTCAGCATCCAAATCCAATTTACACCAAGAGAAGAGTCCTCCACGTGGCATTACCACATGGTCTCCCAGTTACCCCTCCTAGGTCTCCCAGTTACCCCTCTGGCCTCAGCCATCGGCTTCATAACATGCGACCCAGGTCCTTGAAAGGCCTTTCTTCTCTGGAGCCTCTGTTGGCTTCAGATGGCCAAGCTTAAGTGCAAACTATAAAAAGGCAAAGCTCTCGTATGAAAACTGCCACATGTGGGGCTAACATTATCCTCTTAGTTTACTTCTTCATTGTGTAGATAATTACTCTCGATGGCTTTTTTTTTTCTTTTTCTTTTCAGAAACCAGCAGCCACACTCAGAAGATAACTAACCCAAACCAGACTTGGGCCCCTCTACCTACAGAGCATTTTCCACCAATAGAACGGGTTTCTTCACCCACAGCAAAGCACTTCCTGTACAGCCCAGGGATTAAAAGTTTGAGGAAGCGGCCTTCTGGCTTCTTGCTTGGTGCTTTGGAATAAAGCTGCTTTTTCTTCTTTGAAGACCAGTAGCCTGAGATTGGATCTCTGTCCAGACGGGGTAGGTGTGCATTTGGGTTCGTCTTAGGGTGGGTTCTCTGGAGATGGAAAAGCAGTGAAGCTTATATGTGTGTATACTGACAGAGACATTGATAGCATGGAAATGGCTGTAAATATAAAGCAGCAGGCAAGTCCCAAGTCCCTGGGACAGGTGTTAAGCTTCTCCTGACTCTGGAGCCGATGAACAGAAGATTGGTAGATCAGATGACAGGCCTCTGGCTGCAGAGGGGAATGAACGAGTCCAAGGTGGGCAAGTAAGATGGTAAGGTGGGCAGGTAAGATTGCAGACTGCCGGATTAAGAGACACTCCATCAGGCCACTGGCTCAAGTCCAAAAGGACTGGAGGTGAGAGGATAAGCTAGATGTGGCATCTAGACCCAGTAAAAACAAAAATGCTTTTCCACAGTATCGGCTTTCATGGGAAGCAGGTATTGCCCCAATGAGATTTCTAGATCTAAACTGCCAAACCGCTGAGAATTCTGGCTCAGCCAAGTGGCACAGAAACTCTCTGAGGTTCAGATATAATTGTCACTCCATAGATAAAAAGAGATAATAGTGCCTGCTTTGTAGGGTTTCCTGGGGATATACAATGAGCTGATGTAGCTAAAATTCTTGACCCATTTTCAATTAATGATAGATGCTATTAATGAATAAAATTCTATGCATTTTTCTAGTAAAAGAGCACGGGAGAAGTGTGACTTTCATGTTGATAGGAACACGCTGGAGGGAAAGGAGTCAAAAATGTTAAGAGAGGGGAGTAGAAAGGAGGTGAACTGGATTGAAAACCAACAGAAAAAACAATCCCCTTGTAAAATGCAATTGTGCAGGAAGACAGAGGAAGAGAGACTATGCGATATATAAGCCCCCCCAAAAAAGGAAGAAAGAAAGAAAGATCCTAACTCCATATTTCAAAACTGGTATTTCAATCTATTTTGTACATCCTGAGATGCAGTGTATGTTTGTTGGCTTTTCAAATTATAGGACGGTAGCACAGTGGAGGATTTTAGACCCAGAAGATCTGGATTAAAGTCCCAGCTCTGTCAACATTCACCTGGAGACTGTGTCCAGGAAAGTGAAGTAAGGCACTATTAATGATACTGCTGGGACCATATGCATAAGCTGGCTCTGTCCTAGCGTCACCAATTATGGGGCCCTTAGCTGGTATGGTGGAAGGCACTTAACATTCTGAATCTTGTGGCTGAAACTGAGAGGGAGTTTTACAGAGTCTCTGAACATACCAACCAAACACTGTCCCTCAGCTGATGCCAATTCACACAACCCTTTAGAACAAGGTACAACTGCCCCTGTGAGTTTCCGAGGCTATAACTCTTTATGGGAGTAGAAAGCCCTGTCTTTCTCCCACTCTCTAAACATAAAGCCAATAAATGCCTTGAAATAAACTGTACGCTGAGCTGAGATTGCATTCAAATTACTGATCAATCTGAGCAGAATTGTGATGTTAAATAGTGTTGAGACTTCCCTATAGTCCATGAATATAGTACATTATACATACCCTCCCTTAAAAAAGTATTTTTTCCCTTTTCTTATCTTTTGGCTGTGAATTAGGTGAATGTTCACAGAATCAATTGACTTTTCACCACGCAATTCAAACCATGTTGTTTTATGACATGTGTTGTGATCCCCTCCATGTGCCGCTGGTCTTCCTTTCCGCGTGTATCGGTTCCCCCTTCTGTCCCACTCCTTCCCACCTCCTGAGCTCCATCCTGGAGTGAACACTGCCCTTTTGGTCTCAGAGGGATTGTTGTCAAGAGTGCATTATCTCCCCGGTGTTATTTACATGAAAAAAACCTGTCCTTTGGCCGCACCTTGAGCCTTTTTGGATATATCTTTTTTATGTTCTTAAATAAAATTTCATAAAATTTAGTGTAATTGTAGTAGTGTCATATTTATCCTTAATAGTTCTAGTATTTGGGTTTTTTGGCCAGTATTAAATGGAATTTTTTAAATGAGCTCGTTCTTGGTGTTTAGGAAAGCAGTTTTAAAAAAAAGAACTAAACTTTTGAGTGGCGTGTGAATAGATCTATAAATAACATGGAAGAAGAAAATACGATGCAAAACGATGGGTACACTATAATATCATTACTTTACGTTGAGAGAATGCAGAGCAGTCGTCTACACTGCTATGGATACGTGCAAGAGTGTAAAAGGAATAAAAGAGTGTAAAAGGATGGGGGGAAACTAGAGTGATGCGTGCCAAACGATGTGAGAAGGTACCCCTGGAAAGTGGGGGCACTGTGTACAATTAGAAAGAAACTTTAGCTTAATCTTTTGTTGTTGTTGTTTAGCTTAATCTTTTATTGTATACAAACAAAAGAAAGCACAAAAATTAATACATGTGATTTCCTTGAAAAACAAACTATATGTTTTTAAGAAGAACAAAGAACCGTAAGCAAATCTGGTCTACAAATAATTCTAGGTGGTAGAACTACAGGCACTGAAGTGGTCGTTGTGTTGTTTAGCTTTTCTCATCAAATGACGCCCCCCCCCCCCCATAAAATCTGTGATAAAAGCATTCTAAGGCATGAGTCTCTCCTCTGTAACCAGGTCCTCCTGCCTTGATGGAGTACCCATCCGAGCCCAATGTGACAGCGATCACTGACTACTACTATCCCGATAGCTTGTCAAGCCCTTGTGACGGGGAACTTATCCAGAGAGGCAGCAACTCTCTTCTTGCCATCATTTACTGCCTCCTGTTTGTGTTCAGCCTGCTGGGAAACAGCCTGGTCATCCTGGTTCTGGTCACCTGCAAGAAGCTGAGGAGCATTACGGACGTGTACCTCTTGAACCTGGCCCTGTCGGACCTCCTGTTTGTCTTCTCCTTCCCCTTTCTGACCCACGATAACCTGGACCAGTGGGTATTTGGAATTATCCTATGCAAGATGGTCTCCGGGATTTATTACGTTGGCTTCTTTAGCAGCATGTTCTTCATCACCCTCATGAGTGTGGACAGGTACCTGGCGATTGTCCATGCCGTGTACGCCCTGAAGGTGAGGACTGCCAGGGTGGGCGCAGTCCTGAGCCTCGTGGTGTGGCTGATGGCCATCGCGGCCACCAGCCCGCTGCTGGTGTTTTATCAGGTAGCCTCTGAGGACGGCATTCTACAGTGCCTTTTGTCTTACGATCAGCAGACATTGAAATGGAAGCTCTTCACCTACTTTGAAATTAATATCTTAGGTCTGGTGATCCCCTTCACCATCCTTATCTTCTGCTACGTCAGCATCCTGCACCAGCTGAGGAGCAGCCAAAACCGCAACCGGACCAAGGCCATCCGGCTGGTGCTCCTCGTGGTGGTGGCCTCGTTCCTCTTCTGGATCCCCTTCAACGTGGTCCTCTTTCTCACGTCCCTGCACAACCTGCACGTCTTGGATGGCTGTGTCATGAGCCAGCGGCTGATTTATGCCACCCACGTCACAGAAACCATTTCGTTCGTTCACTGCTGTGTGAACCCTGTCATCTATGCCTTCATGGGCGAGAAGTTTAAGAAACACCTGTCAGAAATCAGTCACAAAGCCTGCGGCCACATCTCCCTCTGGCTAGGGAAGGGCTTCCCCAAGGAGCATTGGGAAAGGTCCTCGTCCTTGCGCCAGCAGTCCTCCCAGTCCTCCAGCGTAGACTACATCCTGTGAGGAGCACCTCCCAGGCAAGCGTGGACCTCACCGCCACGGCTCTTCTCTGTCCGATTCTGAGGCTGC